GTCTCAAAAAGACCAAAAATAAATAAATAAATAAATAAATAAATAAATAAATAAATAAATAAATAAGTAAGTAAAATAAGAAAAAAGAAAAAGAAAAAATAAACTTTTCCCTCAGATCCCTTTTATCTGGCTACCACCAGAAGTTGTCACCTACACAACAGGTGGGTCTTCCCACTTCAAATAGCCTGATCTAGAAAGTCTCTCATAGATGTGCCTAGCAACTTATCACTTAATTGATTGCAGATCCAGTCAAGTTGACAACCAAGATTAGTCATCAGTCTCCAACTTCCCCATTCTCTTTTATTTTGTTTGTTCGTTTTCTTCCTTCCATTTTGTTTTTTGAGTCAAGGTCTCCCTGTAGCCCCAGATGGCCTGGAACTTGCAGTGAAGCCCATGCTGGCCTCGACCTCACAGAGATCCCCCTGCCTCTGCTTTGCAAGTGCTGGACTCGAAAGTGTGCAGTACCACACACAGCTCCCCTCCTTTTTTTTCTGCTGCTTGCAATGGTCAGCCTAAAGAGCAAGTGAAGCTTGACTCTGGATAATTAGTTGTCAGTTTTTACTGTGACGAAATACGTGTACTACAAAATTTAGTATCTTCACTTGTTTTTTCTTGTGGCAAAGTTTCACTGTTGCCCAAACTGACTTTGATCCTCCCCCCTCAGCCTCCCCAGTAACTGGGACTGCAGGAGCATCTCATCGCACCCAGCTTCATCTTAACCCTTTTTCTTTTTTTTTTATGTTTTGTGTATGAGCGTATTGCTTGCATGTGTGTAAGTGCACCCGTGTCATGCAATGCCCATGGAGGACAGAAGAGAGTATTGGATTCCCCTGGAACTGGAGTTGCAAACAGTTGTTAGTTGCTATGTAGGTGCTAGGAACCAAACCCTGGTCCTCTGCAAGAGTAGCCAGTGCTCTTAACAGCTGAGCCATCTCTCCAGCCCCCATTGTTTCTTTTTTCCAAAAGATTTATTTTTATTTTAATTATGTACATGTGTGTTTCTGTGCTTGGGTGTGTGCATATGTGTGCAGGTGCCTGCAGGGACCAGAAGGTGTTGGATGCCCTACACTGGAGTTACAGGCACTTGTGAGCCACCCATTGTGGGCACTGGGTACCTAACTTGGATCTTCTCTAAGAGCAGTTGAGCCATCTCTTTAGACCCTTAACCAACACCCCCCATTTTGTTTATTCATGATGTGTGTGTGTGTGTGTGTGTGTGTGTGTGTGTGTGTGTGACAACAGGTATGGAGGTCAGAGGACAACTTTTTGGATTCAACTCTCTCCTTCCTATGGGTTTTAGGGGACAGGACTCAGGTCATCAGGCTTGGTGGCAAGCACCCTTGCCCACTGTGCCATCTCACTGGCTCCATCTTAACCAATTTCAGGTGAACTGTTGGGTGCTAAATACATTCACGCTCTCTTTCTGAATCTTTTGCTCTTTAAGATTTATTTTATTTTTAATTGTGTGTGTGTGTGTGTGTGTGTGTGTGTGTGTGTGTGTGCAGGCATCTTTGGAGTCCAGAAGAAAGGGTCAGATTCCCTGGAGCTGGAGGTCCAGGGAGTTACGGGCTGCCCATTGAGCGTGCTAGAACCCAAATTCAGTTCCTCTGAGCTCTTAACCACTGAGCCATCACTCAGCCCCCCCTTTGATCTTTGAGATAGGGTCTCTCTCTCTCATCTCTCTTTCTCCCTGGCTGGCCTTGAACTGATGGAAATTCTCATGTCAGAACCAACATTCACTATGCTGTCTCTGTGATTTTGACTAATCTGAGTATTTCAGAATATTGGAATCATGCATTATTTGTCTTTAAATTTTGGACTGGCTTACTTCACTCAGCTTAATGTCCTTGAGGGTCATGATGTGGAGGCATATGCCAGAAATTTCTTCCTTTGGAAGGCAGAATAATATCCCAAAACATGTCTGTGCCATGTTTTGTTTGTACATTTATCCATCAATGGACCACATGGGTTGTATCGACTTCTTGGTTATTGTGAATAAGGCTACTATAATCATGAGTGCAAAATACCTCTTTGAGATCGTGATTTCAGTGCTTTGGGATATATATCCAGAAGTGCACTTGCTGGGTCACGTGGTTATTCTTTTCCATAGTAATTCTACCATCTTACATTCCTACCAGCTGTTCACACAGGCTCTAATTTCGCTATACCTTTATTCTCTCTCTCTCTCTCTCTCTCTCTCTCTCTCTCTCTCTCTCATAGTCATCCTAATAGGTGCAAGCTGGTATAGTAGTTTGTTTTGCATATCTCTAATGATTATGATGTTGAACATTTTTAATGTGCTTATTAGCCATTTTTACACTTTTAAAGAGAAATATATATTCAAGTCTATTTATTCAATTCTATTTATTTATTTATTTATTTATTTATTTATTTATTTATTTATAGGCTGTGTCTGACTATGTAACCCTGGCTAATCTGAAACTCATTGTGTAGACCAGGCTGGCCTTGGATTCACAGAGATAACCTGCCTCTGCCTTCTGAGAGCTAGGATTAAAAGCATGTGCCACCATGCTCCACACTTACTCACAATTTTATACAGGATCTTGCTCTGTAGCCCACAGTGATCTAGAACTTGTGATCCTCCTGCCCCAGCCTCCTGAGTGCTGGGATCAAAGCTATGTACCACCATAGCCATCTTTGGGTATGGTATTACACATAGGTCCAACTTTATTTTTATTTTAATTTTTGTGGGTGGAAAACTGGTTTTCCCAGCAGCATTTGTTGAAGATTTCCTCTTCCTCACTGAGTGATTTTTTTTGTCACCCTGTCAAAAATTATTTGTGCACATACACATGAGTTCCTGGGCTCTGTCTTCTGTCCTATTGGTCTGCTCTTGTGTCTTTATTCCTACACCACACTATTTTGATTAGTGTAGCTTTGAAATAAGCTTTGATAGCAGAAGCAAGGTCTCTAACTTTGATTTTTTTTAAAGATTATTTTGACGTTTGTGGGACCTTTTAGATTCCATATAATTTTAAGACAGATTTTTCTATTTTTGAAAAAAAATCATAGGAATTGCATTGAGTTAGACAAATTTTAATCCAAATGAATGTACAATATAAATGCCGTCCTAATAATCAGAGCTATATTGAAGCAATTGATTCAATTAAATAATTGAATAATATAAAAGCTCAGAACAGGCCAGTATTTGATGGAGAAAAAATAAAATACAGATGCCCTGTACTTCTCCATGAGTCAGATTTTCTGGGCTGTTTTCAGATTACCATTGAGTTCTCAGAGTAAGGGATGCGAAGTGAAAAACATCCATCTCTCACCTCCCGGGTCCGAAGAGTATCATAGTTAAGAGAGAAAAACCATTCTGAAAGCAGCAACTGTGCACACTCTAGCACTAAGGCGCGGGTAATAAGCAGACGGGATCGGGGGTGGGGGAGGGCAAGAAGGGAAATTAGGGCCAGACATGGTGGCACATGCCTTTAATCCCAGCACTTAGGAGTCAGAAGCTGGTGATTGAGGCTAGCCTGGTCTACATGACTTCCAGGCCAGCCAGGGCTGCACAGTGAAACCTGTCTCAAAAGAGGAGGAGGAGGAGGTGGCAGAAGATGGGGGGAGGGAATTGGGGCCTGGGAGGATAGCTCTGTACACAGGAGCACTTGCTAAACAAGCATAAGGCCCTGAGTTCAAATTTCTCTTTAACTTCAGAGCCATGGGGGAGGTGGGAAGGAGACAAGGGAATTCTGGGGCTTGCTGGTGGCCAGCTTAGTTCCAGGTTCAGGGAGACACCCTGTCTCAAAGGAATAAGGCAGAGAGAGATAGAGCAGGACGCCTGATGCTGTCCTCTGGCCTCTGTGTGTGAGCATGGATACGCACACCTGCACACATACGTACATAGACCACACACATATTATACATATATATGTATATGTATACATATGTATATATATATGAAGAGAAATCAAACACCCGCACACATACGTACATAGACCACACACGAACATTAAGAAAGAAAGAAACCTGGAGAGAAAGGCATGTGGCCTGAGACTTGAGGAAGAACTTTGTGGAGGAGAAAGATGTGACTAAAGAGATGAGATGAGGTGACGGGTGGGAACCGAGCCCTGCTGAGCGGCCACTGCCTCTTTCCCCTAGGCATGCAAGACTTTAATTATCTCCATACCAACTGCTTCGAGATCACACTGGAACTGAGTTGCAACAAGTTTCCCCGCCAAGAGGAACTACAGCGGGAGTGGCTGGGTAATCGGGAAGCCTTAATCCAATTCTTGGAACAGGTAAAAATCTCATTTTTCAACACCCATGGTTGCAGGTGGAGTGGTGTTTCCAACGGCAACAAGGCGGTCTTGGTCACTCAGGCCTGGCTCACTGCAGTGAGTGGGAATTCTACCAATGAGAGTTGTTCTTTCGATGTCATAGAACACAATTGTCTGCCAGAAGTTGGGGATTATGGGTAAATAAGCAAATATCCTTTTTCCATATGGACCTGATATTCTAATGAGGATGGACAATAAGCAAAATAAGAAAGTAAATTTTGTAACGTATTAAAAGAGAAATGCTCTAAAGAAAGCCTTATGGTGAAGGTGAGTCTTAAAGAATCCATGGAGCTGAGGGACACAGTCATGCAGACGTCGTGTCAAGGGCAGGGTTCTCTAAGATAGACACTGTAAATACAAAGCCAATGATAGGCATATGAAAACATGCTCAGCATCACTACCCACAGTGAGCTGCCACCTCACACCCATTTGGATGGCTTCTGTCAAAAAGCAGAAAATAGCCCACCTTAGGAGGCGGTAGAGAAACCAGAATCCCTGAGCATTGTTGATGCGGTTGGGAAATGGTGTCACCACTGAGAAAAGACGGAATGGCAGCACTTCCAAAAAAATAAAAATTAGAGCTGGGCTGCATCCATGAAATCTCAACAGTATGGTTGCCTAAAGAAGACCTGAAGAATGTCACCATCAGTTGACACGCCAGTATGGATGAGGGAAATTTTAGAAGATCCCATCCCTAGATGTGGAGCTACAGGCAGTCAGTGGCTGCTGAGAGAATCAGTTTTCTCCAGAGTTGAGCTCCTTTGACAGGTTATCCAATCCCAAGTGGTCAGCCTAATATAGTACATATGAACAGCACTAAATGGATTCTGTAGGTCACACACGCGCGCACGCACGCACACACACACATGAATATGTATATTAATACTTTATTTA